CCCTACAGCTGCCATACTTCCATTCATTCCAAGCCCATGTGCAGACTAAAAAATAAAAAAAATTTCCACAAGGAAATTACTAGCAGATGGAAATTAAATGAAAAGTTAGGCAGTTGGGTATCAGCTTATTTGAAATCAATGTTTTATCAATCAACGTACCTACGAGAAGTCCAACACTACTTCTGTAGACAAAATTAAAATTCTCCAATATAAAGCCTTACTCAGAATGACTATTTAATAGTGTCCCCGTACTTCACAACACACCAAAACGAAGTACATTAGAGATCTGAAGCTAGGCACATATGGTGCCAGTCACAGGGCAAACTTTGGAATAAATGACAATTAGTGAGCAGCAGCAGAAGTCAGATGACACTTCACACATAGACACTCATAATGCTATTGTTACCATAACTAATAATTTTAGTTGTGAACGGAACAACCTTTTTAATTTTTATGAAAAATTACTTCTAGGATCTGTTTTAGATAAACAGGCGGTTAAGATACCAACAGTAATTCAGATAACAGTTTAAGACTATCAGGGATTTAAAGCACACCTCCCCCTCCCCATCTGCCTTCCCTAAAAAGACACATAGACACAAATGAAAGTACAGTTTTCATAATGCCAGTACCACAAAAGACAGGGAAAGTTCAATTTTTTTTGGAAGCATAAGTACTCACTAGAATATATTCAGCAGCTTCATTTGGAAGAGCAGTTTCCCTAAAGCTTTCTTCCTGAAAATGGCGCAGGTTTGTAGGTAGTGCAATACCAGAAGTCCGAAACTGGCCTGTCCCACAGGAACTCTGTAAACCTTCCCTGTTTGTGCTTCGGGCCAGCGAAGCCAGAAATCCGAAGTTATTTACAGAACTAACAGGTTCTTTGGATGCCTTGTTAGCCACATCTGTGATGTCCCTAGCCTCTGCTTTAGAGATTACATCAGGTCTTTTGCCAAGTGACTCTACTTTCACACTACGAAATCTAGTAGTCCTAGAAAAAGAGGAATCTCCTATACTACGGACTTCCAAGGATCGAAGCACATTTGGGGAGGCTGTAGATCTCAAGTTACCAGCCTCAACACATTTGGGTTGTGCCTGTGGTTTAAGAGAACTGTGACGTGCCACTTGCGCTGAATACCGAAGAGGTGACAAAAGCAGATTTTTCTGAGGACTTAATTCACGAGTACTGAGAAGACCAGCCCCCATTGCTGCAGTGCTCAGCACTTTGCTAATAGGTTTTCTATGCTGCTCTACAACCTTAGATTCTTCATCTCCATCAGACAGTTCAAGTTCTGGGTTCACCTTTCCTATGTCTTGTATCTCACTACACTGTTCAGTGGTGCTTGCTTCTGTTAACAAAGCAAAAGCATCTGTTTCAGGTAAAAGTTTTTCTTCTGTTCCATATAGCTCTACATTTGATAGATTCGGAAACAAAACAGCATCCTCTTCACTTCTTGAGGTCACATTTTCAGGTGCTTTTTCTGAATTTTCAGGCAGAGATGAAACAGGAGTCAGAATACTATTTGTAGGTAGTTTTGCATTTTCTAGTTCAACACGAGATATTTTTGGTGGTAACCTGATGCTACTAACTGGCTGAGACCAAGAGTTGCTCTGCCAAGTGTCATCTTCCTTAAGAAAGTCATTAGTTGTGGATGGCATTGTTCTACCAGCAGTGGCCAAAGTAGCCAACGCTGAAAGTGCATTTTGGGAAGACTCTGAGTGATATGAATTCCCAGGAGGAGGTAGGCAAGACTGGCCAATATGTGGGAGCACTCTTAAAAAACGGTGACGAGCAGCAGCCACCGAGCCACTAGATGGTCGAGGAGCCATTGGAGGACGAGGCTTCACCTTGACAGTTTTCTTAGGCTATTCAAAAAAACCAAAACCACATACAATAACAATCATTATTTGAATTATGGTTGCATTCAAAGACCTGAAAAGATCATATTCCCAGGAATTCAGACAGTGTAAGGCCAGAAAGGACCAAATCATTCTTTCTAATCCCTCATCTGTTACTAGCCGTCAAGACTTCACCCCAACATCCGAATAATAAAATCAAAGATTATAATCAGAAAAGGCTTCTTAGTAAACAGGCCATATGTCAGAGGAATAGAAAAGGGAAACCAGAATTCCTTCAAAGTTATCCAGAAAAGCTTAGGGTTTCAAACAAGACAAATAATGAAAGAAAGTATAGTACCTAAGATGTCCCTGCTCACTGCAGGGGGATTGCACTAGATGACCTCTAAAGGTCTCTTTCAACCCAAACTATTCTACGATCTTCATTTTACATCTAGGTAACCTAGACAGACATGAACACCACGTAATGTTTTATCTTCCAGGTAATCTCATTCTCATGTTTAACTTTACAGGCTTTTCAGTTACAGTATTTCTAATGCAGTTTCATTTAAGAAAAACATCGATTTTTACCAGAGCAGTACTACAAAACAATGCTACTTAAAGTATCAGAAGAAAAAACAAAAAAACCCAACAAAATAAACCCCCAACCCCACGCACCCAAAAAAAAACAAACCCAAACACCCACGCAAGTAAACCCAGGATCAGTAGTGAATTCTCTAAATGGGGACAGGTAGATCCAAGTAAAGCCAATGCCTCACAGCAGAACTTTTATACATTAGCATTTACTTAAACAACAGGCAAGTAATCATCTACCTTTGATCACTTCACTTTTCAAGACAGCTTTCTAGAAAAGCCATCACTAGGAAAGTGCAAGCCATTTTATGACAGAAAAATTGAAATCACAACTTCACCTTTTTACTCAGATTCATGTTCTCCATCTTTGCCTTGAGCAGTTTCATTTTATTCATAGTAATTGAATTCTCAATAATCTGTTGGCCAGAAGGTGATGCCTCTGTCTCATCTTCATCATCAGCATATAAATTATAAACTGAACCACTGCTGAAAATAAAAGAAAGTTTGTGTTCACCTTCTAATGAAGTAATTATAATTATGTTTTCAATGTAGAATAGTCTCACAACTAGAAAGTCATATCCGTAGTTGATCTGTTGACAAAGCATTATGTAAAAATGTATGCAAAGACATTTCAAATCCATTTATTTTAGCACATAAGCATTCCTTATAAGATGCTCACACAAAGTGATGGTGCTGAAACTGGAACATAGCCACACTTCTGGGAAGCTGCTATACCATATACAGTTGGTTCACACTCACTATATATTTTCCCCACAGAGGGGATATCCAGTTCCACAAATGTCTCCTGAAGGTATGGCCAAAGCTGTTAACTGTGTGACTCAGACAACAAGCTGATCAATTTTCCAATTAACCAGACACTGGCATGGAAGGAAAGTCCAAATGTCTATCCATCCTGAGGGGTGTTCTCACCATAAATGGAAATGGAGGGGTCACCCATGTGGATGTGATATTCTATTACGCACCCTCAAAATTTAAAAAAAAAAAAAATAAAAAAAAAAATCAGTTTAGGTTTCCAAAGAGTCTCACATTTGGAAAAAAATAAACAGGTAAGAATTGCTAGTCCCAAGACAAAGTGTTTTAGTATTTCCGTAGTCACTGGAAATTTATATATCACATTGCCTTTTCCATTCTGTATTCAAACAGAATGCAAAAACTCAATGTTTTAAAGTCAGTATCTGACTAGTTTTTCTTATGAAGTCATGAAGCACTAGTCACTAACATACATCCAACATTTCACAGTGAAACAAAGGAACCATTAGGAGTGTCCAAACTGATGCATTTTCAACACTGTATATAGTACATTTTAAAGAGTGTTTTAATTCTTCTATTAGGCTGTCAGCATCTAGAAATTGTGACAATCAGGCAATTCCCCTGTGTTCATACAAATGTCTTCGCAGATTTAAATAAAGTTTCTACTCTCCAAAAGAGACCAAGGAAAAACTGAAGGTCCTGAGAAAGTCAGCAGCAAAAAAAAAAAAAAAAATTTCACTAATTAGAGCTGGCATCTTACCTGATTCTTGGAAATATTTTGCTGCCCTTAGTCAAGAGCCAGTACTTTTGCACTGACTCTCCAAATCCATTTCCTAAAACATAGCAAAATTCTGAAGGCAGCACAGCTGGGAGACAGATTTTTAAGAGCAAGACGGCAGCAAATTCAAAGCAAGAGTCAGCAAAATAGTCCAGTAATTCTTACCAAAAACCAAACAGCTCCATATGGGGACAGTCAGTGTGCATAATATTATATACGTCTCCTGGTAAAAACACTAAAGAATCATTTCAGAATGTTAACTCTGCAAAGACTTAAGTCACCAATTCAAAATAATTCTTTGAACTTCCCTTCCTTCAGGGAAAGGATAGAAAAGTGATATATCTCACATGTTTGGTTGGTGTTTTGTTTGGTTGGGTTTTCTGATGCAAAAAGAATTGTTACCTTTTTTCCTTGCATTTTCTGGCTACATAGGAGCTAAAAACACTAAAAAAAGGAGCAACACATAGATTTTTTTTTTTTCTGCTTTAATGTGATTGTAAAATTATAGAAGTTGGACAGGGAGCTTTGTTCTTGATGATACTTTCAGTCCATTTTCCAATGAGCGAATTTTAAATTGACTTTGTCCATAGGTGTCAACATTCCTGAGATCTTGCTCACAAAATATGTGCCTCAAAAATGATGGGTGGTTTGCCGAAACTCTTTTGACAACAGTACCTGCCAGTCCTTTACCACAACTTCAACTTTCTTTTAATTCAGAGACAATAACCACTGTATGTATTTATTGTCAAGTTTTAACCATTAACTTAACCACAGATAAAAGGAAATGATCTGGAGAACTATAAAACAAAACCCAAACCATTGTCTCATTTCTCAACTGCAGTCACTAAATTCTGCTCCACACACAAGCAGTGTGAGAAAAGCTGATAAAACAAGTGCTTCAAAATGCTCAGTCACCACAAAACCACACTGAACTGCCAGTGTGGAAAAGACTAGTATCCAGAGTGATTCACAGCCTACATCTACAAAGACCAAATGAAAAAGGTCTGATTTGTTTCCATCCTCTTCTCCCTTTGCTACTTTTTCCATTTCCCACAAAGTCCAACCCAGCCATAACAACAAATTAAAAAATTAGGATTTCCACTCCCTGTGCTTTAATCACTGTCTGCCTTAGTAGAAAACTTAATAAATGATCTCCCATAGGAAACACAGAGGAAGAGAAACAACTCAAGGTGAATGTCTTTAACTCAGGTGGCTTCCTACCTAACTGGATCATTTGATCAGTGAGAACAGGAATTGCACCTGTTCGCTCCTCTTTCCAGAAGCATATCTAGCCCAATGCAGCAGCAAGGTTCTCAGTTCTTAGTGAAGATAGTGGTTTTTATCTATTTCAAACCTACGTGCAATATCCTATGTGCTTATTTACTGAAAAAAAAAAAAAAAAAAAGTGGGGGCACTGAAAGACAAGATCATAGATCTAAAATATTTGTATCTTTCCTGCTAGCATATCAAACACTAGCTTTCTACTCTGTGTAATGATGTGGGAATTCAACCTCGATATTTCATTCAGCGTGTAGTTTTTAAGTACAAATCTCTTATAAAAGTTTATAAGAGTAATATCACTTTGAATATAAACACACTGAATCACACTGAATATAAATCCAGTACAAAGCTCTTGCTTTCACTTTGCAAGCTGGAACAAGAATAGTTACTTAAAACAGTGCAAGCCTTAGCCTTGGAGAAAATGCAGCTAGTCCCCAGAACATGGACTCCTTTCCTTACAGTTGTACAAATATTAAGTTCTTCATGGGATTAAAAAAAACCTACTCAAAAGCTGCAGTATAAAGACAGAATTTAATAATTTTAATAGATATTATCAATTTTGCTACCTTTAGGAAGACTACTAATCCATTTACTACAATGTAGTAGCTTAAGTGACATACTTGCTCTTCTGATAACAACAGTACTTTGATTCTGTAACAGAGACTGAGACAAGTTTGGTACCTCAACAGTAGCTCATCTGAGGCCTAATTATGTCCAAAGACTAGCTCTATTAGTAATTATTTCAGTGTATTTACAAAACAAAACAAAACCCACACACAACCAACCCAACAGAAAAAAAAAATAAATCACCAAACCCACCCCAAAATAAAGCAAACCCCAAAACAAAACAGAAATGTCAAAGACCAAAATAAACAAAATAACCAAAGAAAACCCCAGTTTCTCTGAAACTTCAGACAAACCATCTCAGGATTTTGCACTGCCAATCTATCATCTTCTTGACTAATGATTCGGTTAAGTCATAGCCATATGAAAAACAACATTTATGCTGTGAAGAGAGGAATGCTTACAAAACTAAACAAATGCCTTATGATGGAAAAGAAAGTACTTAGCAAAAAGTTTTTCATATCTTTATTGCTGAACTGACCCTCCTATCAAATATTCCCTTTTAGAATGGGCTGAAATGTTGAGAATTGCCTTAATGAGGTCAGATTTATCTCACTCTATTGACACACAGTGCGATACAATCACCATCAGCATGACCACTGACTGTCAACACAGCATTACTGTGTTGTTAGGCCACCCAGTTATAGCACTTTGGTAGCCCTTAGGGCACAATTCTTGCAATATTCCAGATATTCTTTTGATGAAGTCAACAGATAAAGCTGAAAATTAAACAGCATCCCCCTTTTGAAGAATAATATAAAGATTAAAACCAACTTTACCTCAAAGATTCAGATAATGGCGTTAAAGTGCCATCTCCCCTGTCTACCACACGGAAGAAATTCAACTGATCTCCTTCTCTATATACTAAGAAGGTAACTTGTTTGTTGGATGGCCCTTTCTCCCAGATCTCATCTCTAGTGGGATCCATGTATTCAGCCATTTCCCTGATAGGGTCTTCCACAGGAACTACACAGAGAAAAAACAGAATAAAACCAAGTTATCATCATTATTGTTATTATTTTGATCACCTTTAACAACTCAGCTCAGTTTACAAGGGGAATTCCCAACCTAGAAGATATGCTGAGTTTTTTTCCAACTGAAAATTATCAAAGGGATTTCTCCATTTCCATTCCTCTATAGATGATCCACATAAACAAGTTCATCATCAGACTGAACCAATGCCCAATTCTCCTCACTAACCAGATTTGTATAATGACATTACAGTATCATCTTTTCTGCAGGTGAAGAGTTGCTGATTTTAAGACTTGATGATTCTACACATACAAAGATACTTGTTAAGTTAAGGGTAAACAAAATTAAAAGGATGGTGCACTTCGTATGCTAAGGAAAAAAAAAAGATGAAAAAAATCCCTCCGTTTTTGTGAAGTGTTTTTCCAATTAATTTGGAACTGAATTCTGCTTGTCTAAAATGCTTACCTAAGAGAAGCTGCTTAACAGTTACACAACGTTGCATGAAAACGACTATTTTTAACTGCATTAACACCTACCTCTTCTAGTGTTAATAGGTCCACCTCGCATAGCCAGAACTAACTTCAGAGTGCTGCCTTCTGAAATGCTGTAAATAATAAATACATTTTTGTAGCATTTTCTATTGCTTATGCTAACAATCATTTAGAAACATTAATTGTGATTTTATTCTATACTTACTTATAATCATTCAAACAATAGTCATCCTTCAGTTCCGTATTATTCCAAATTAAGTGCTGCTGAGAGACCGGAATACCTAAACAAAACAAACAAATAAACAAAGCCTATTAAAATTGGAGCTTGGTGAGAGGGCTTTTGGGGAGTTTTGCTTTTTGAAGAATGTGGGGGTAACAGAGGAGAGGTGAGAAAGTGGATCACGGGAAAGAAGAGAGGAAGCAGGACAAGGACAGGCACTTGAGCAACCTTCAGTCATGACACCCAACCTCCAAACAGTTATTAAGAAGAAAGGTAAGATTTTCGGCAGGCTTGTGCTCACACGCGGAGTTCAATCTTTTGGTTCAACAAGGGGTCTGTAGAAGTATCCAACTGCTTCAGGCTTACTGAATACTTGCTCTTTTCCAGTTTTTTCCTGTTACACGTACCTCAGAGCTTTATATCTACTGACAGGAAAAACAGGACAAAACTTCTAAGTACAGAACTGCTGAATAATTCAACCACAGACTGATGTTCTATATTACCGTAAAGACAAGGTCACATTAAGGTAAGTGATGGCAGCTCTATTACAGTGGTGACAATTGTAAATGTGTTTTTATCACTACTTGGTTTAGTACCTGAAAGTTCACAAGTACAATATAGTACTACAGCAGTTAGTCCAACCTTGTACTACAAACCTTTTATTTTGAGGGTGTTCTTTTAGGCCATCAGAACATTTTATTACTTATATCCAGTAATTGTCATTTTCAACTCAAGTTCTAGGACAGAATTGGCTAGCTATTTTTTGTTAATTAAGCATATCGAATATTTGTTCCATATTAAAAATCCATACTCTACACAATGATTGTTTCTTTCTGCCTGCATAGTCAATTCATTTAGATACAGACATAATACACACCAAAGATAATAAGCATAAGCTGGTACAACCTGAGGTCTTTGCATATTTTTATTAGAATGCTGACACTTCCCAAATTTTGGATAGAATACAGACCAGGACAGTTATGAAAGGATAAGTCCTGTTGGATCACAAAAAAAAAAAAAAAACTGAAGGCTAACAGGAAGATGAATAGCTGTCTTTTTTGCCTTTAAAAAAAAAAAAAAAACAAAACCAAAAAACAACCCAACTTCCCTCCAGCATCAAAAAGAAGTACTGTTGATCAATTTGTCTAGTGAAATCCAGGTAATTAAGATCTCACTGTGCCTTGCTGACAAATTATATTTAAAATGGAAATCTATAGGGGCCAAGAACTACTTTTTCAAAAAGGTCCAAACACTACTCCTCAGACTAAAAAGCAAAAGCTATAAATACATTTTCCAAAATGTTATGTTAAAATAATCTTATTTTATACTTCTATTCATTGCATGTTCGGATACTTAAAAGGAGATGCAAGTAGCAATGCTACACACTAAGACTTCCCAAAATACATCTGGCAAGAGTGGAACACAGAGATCAGAGTCTTCCAGGTGGTTTCCAAAACCATCTCAGCTTCCCAAGTCTTGCAAGAGTGCTTAGCAAGCTGTGGCAAAAGGTCGGTTAAGTAGCTGGAGAAAGGGCACAAAGCTACCAACACCCATCACCAGCAAGGAAGAAAAGGGGACAAGATTACAGTGAAAGTCCAAGCAGATTCAACAGAGAAGATGACAATTGCCTTTTCTCACCACAGCTCATATCTAGATCTTCTCTTTTATCAATGACCAACGCAATGTTACTTCACTTGGATGGCATTTAACATGAATCTTTCATCCTCTGAAGTCCACAAGACATTTATTAGGTGAATATGTTCATATAGTAGACTAACATAATTGCTACTACACTGCTAGCTATCTAATAACTGGTTATTGGTTATGTTTCAAGTCTGCAGCGTAAGCAAAATAAGAACAAACCAGCAACAGCTAGTGAGTCTACAGTGAAGTTCCCTGTTTTGCAGACTTCTAATTACAAACAGTCATTACTGTCTGCATTTGTTATGTTTTCAGCAGCCTCCAAGGAGCAATTTCCAATTTCTTTGATAAACTGAGAGAGTATTTGTTAAAAAGGCCGGCTTGCAACTGGCAGCACTGCAGTGAAACATGTTTTTGTTCATTTAACAATGACAATGTATTTTTGATGAAATGAACAGATGAAAAGATTATACTCTGCTGTAATAGGAAACAGACAAATCTTTATTACTAAGTCCCTTCCATGCTGCTTTCTAAGAATTCTGTATTTATACATGGAGGAAATGGTACATGCTTTATAGGTTCAGATGCAACAAAACATGCATCAGTTGCCCCTTTTCTGGATTATAGTAAGGCTTTGTTGACGAGACATTTGCACATGGAATCAGCATATAAAATTGGCAACAACAACAAGAACTGCGAGATACTCATCCACCATCCTCTCTCCCTAAGCAGCATGTGACTATCACTGGCCTGCTCCAAATTGGTACTGAGAAGAGAGGACAGTAGGGCAATAAGCTACATCTCAATGCTCACATGGACGCTGGCTACTCAGGTGATGCTATAGGAGGACAGAAGGATCTACTGACTGTCTATTGAAATGGCTGCAGATGTGCTGATAATCTGACCTGCTAAAATGGGGGGAGGAGAAGAGGGAAGTAGATACTCTATCCTGTTCTCCGAATCAGCGTATCAAATACACCCTTAAGCTTCACTCTGCTCTTCTTTCTGGCATGCTAAGCAGGCTCTCCAGAGAAAGTCCGACCCAGGGGAAAAAACCCTGTAGATTTCAGAACAAACTTGACTTTACCTTGCGTAGAAGGTTACTATGTTTAAAAACATCACAAACATTTCAAAGCCGAAGTTCAAACAGTGTAGTTTTTCATTTACTGTTGAAATTGCTAGAGTTTCTGAAACGTTCACTTTTTGTTCCTGCTTACAGAAAGGCTGGGCTGACAGTCTTATTTTCCCTCATAAACTCGCTATGCTAGGGAACCAGTGCAAAGGTTCACAACTTACAGCAGCAGGACCGTTTTCATAACTGTCAAAAGTCCCAGCCTTCATTTGCATGATAGTAAGCTATATTAGTGTAAATGGTGGTCAGCACCGACCTACAAACCTTTATCCTAGGGACTGACAAAGAGAAGACTGTAAAAACAGCAAGTCACTAGTAACTAAATACAGGCCCACAAAATTTCTTGACAAAAGTGACCTTATTTACACCTTCCAGATGCTGCTCTAACCATCTGATCTGGGCACAGGCTTCCATTTGCAGGAATGTTTTCCCAGTTTAGACAAGGCATAAGCCTAAAAAAAGCTTCATGAACTTCTAGTCTCTATCAGCACAGTAAACAGACAAATGACAAAGCAAACAGGAGATGAGGAAAAGTTGTAGACAGAAGAAAAGCAAGTTTGATTCTGCTAAAAACTCATTACACTTGTGCAATCCACTTACTCCAGTCCTGATAGAAGCATAGCTTCTCTAACACTAGTAATAAACATCATTACATACTCTGAATTCACAGAATATTGAAAGAAACATCCAAAAGAAGTCTGCTTGATATTCATCCAGTTCCTTTCACTTAAGATGAAGCTGCTGTACACAGGCAGCAAAATAATGACAGCAAAAAGACCAAAGAGAAACAACTCTCATGATGAATTGAGAGTACACACATGTACAACAAAATTATTGTTGCATCTGTTGTTCCCTGATGAACACAAGCATTCCAAATTAGGATGTACTCTGAAAGCTAGTGCTGTTTTACTCCTTTACAATAATACAAGAACACAAATACATCTAAATTTTAATCTAAAAACGTAGATGTTTACACACATAGAGATCATAAAATTCAGTTGCAAGCAGTCACTGCACAAACCATGACCGAATCGGGTTTTTTTTCTTATTTCAAAGCTAGCTACATAAATGAAAGCCTTAATACCCTGTACTGTAGAATGCAAATTAATTACCCCAAGTTAAGAAAAATAACAATAATACCAACACCAAATCCCAAACCCCACACCTCCTCCCTCGAGACTCAATCCTACCTTACTAAACAAACATGTTTACAGCTATTATCTATGGTTCTTTAACAGATAAAAGAATTAATCACTGCTAGGAATATACTATCTGATTGTTCCTTCTATAAAATTCAATATAATAATTAATGTTTCTGAATGAAGAATACTAAACTTTGTCCAGCCCAGCAGCTACAAAGACTCAGGCAATGGAGAAAGCAAGAAATCATCCCAGTGTAAAAAAAAAAACCCACCACCCAAAAACCAAACCAAGAAACCCAACACACACAAAAACCAAACCAAAAAACACTATTTCCTCTTTCAATGAAATGCTGCCACTTTTAAGTACCATTCATGTGTTAAAGCCCAATCTTTCATGTAATCTTGAAATCAGGTACCATCCTATCCATGTCCATCAACACATGATCCTGCTTTCAAATACAAATAATCAACAAATAAGACCAATGGAGCAGGTAGCACTGCTGGCAACACTATGCTATGCTGCTGGCTGTGTGTATTCTAGCTTTTATGCCACCAGCAGAGACAAAGGGAGCTATTTAGCTATTTGTTCTCCAGTGTACCATTTTAAAAAGCTCATTCAGCGAATCTGAGACTAGGAGTGATTCAGCCTAGGTGGGCTCCAAAGTCAACGTTGTAACAAATCTAAACTTTTGGATACCAAGTGCTTACTTTGCATGGAACATACCTGAGGACAAATGCCTGGATCTGATCCAAATACAGATCAGATGTGTTTTAATGAGTAGATTTGTGATGAAACGTCAGGTGCATTAGAACCCATTAATAAATTTTTACCTATATTCTTTACTGACTAAAACCAACGGGAAACAGAAAGCTGGAGATCTGGAGCTCTTTCTTAGTAAGATACCAATGTCTACTACAGCTGTCTAAACAAACCCTTTCCATATCAGATCATTAAACAGGCACCAAGAATGACAAACAGTATCAGAAGTATACAAAATTCCTAACGTGCCATCCATATTATCCTTTCTTATTACAGTGCAAACAGTCTACAGCTATTGATACTCCAGTTGCTGACAAAGATCAGTTCATCTTGATTTAGTTTTATTATTAGCCTCTCACAATTAGAGGCATTTGAACAAATTTTGTAACTTCTGATACAAGACTAGATTTTGTTCTTGGAAATCTCAGGTCTCAGATCATTTTCCCAAAACCGGTCTTTTTGTATGCTTACATACTATCATCCTTAACACCCAAATGAGTCCACAGAGACACTATGACTACTAAGGACCCTATATAGTCTCCCAGCAGTGTAGTAGGCATTCTCAAGACAGAACTACAGCTTAAATGAGAGACACCCCATGAAAGTTGACATGATACTATAACAAAAGGTGAAAAACAGCAGCAGAAACAGGAACAGATGTAAGCTTTCTGTTTCTGAGGCTAAATCACAACAGCAAAATTACTTTTAAGATTTTTATTCCACCTGGGTGATTCATTGTTTGAACTTGTGAGCTATAATAGGAACTTTGTCACTGAAAAGTTAACTATTTTTTATATGCAATAGCAACCCCAAATGCAACACAGTTAATTTGTCATTGTGTATCTGTCCCCTTCACACACAGATGATCAATCTGTTTTCACTCTGCCTCACATAAATCATACTAATCGGGACATTACAGATATTTTTTCCCTGTTCTAGAGTGTTAAGGTATTTCAACTGATTTCCAACAATTCAGTGATAAGCACCAGTGAACTCTTATCTTCCATGTTTTAATGAAATTTACATATTAATAATTAAGTCTATACAGCAAGCACCTAAGCCATTAATTACTTTATCATCCCACAAACTACAACATGTGAACAAAATTCTGAATAAGCCATATTATAACTTTATTACTGAGCTCTTTTTAATAAGAAATTATGATACTTTTGTAAGCTAGGCACACCCAGCCCACAGTAATAAGCTGTAAGTATAACTCAGTATGTCTATTCACAATCTCTCGTTTTGGACTACAAGAAATTCAAATTCCTCTTCCTCACATCTCCCACTGGTCACTTCATGCACCCTTTAAAGCTCAATCCTTCTTCTATACTGCCCAGGTAGCCTGCCGTCTGTACTCCATTGGCTATGTTCCCTTTGAATTCACTTTTAGCATTCCATCACGTATCTGCTTGCATCTCTCCTATGCCTATATTCAATCACAGAGAAGAAAACCTCTTTCCTTTTCCTGTTTTACCTCTAGCCTCCAGGAGCAACTCAACATGCTCTCTGACTTGTGATTAATTACAGCCCTGTCCACGGGTAACAAAAGCATACCCATGTAGCTGCACTAATGTAGCCACACTGATGTAAAGTCTAGTTATCTGCATGGTGGAGCTTCTACTATGTGACCTTCCTAGCCAAAAGTCACCCCCGTTGTTGCAATGATTCCGTGTTTTAAGACTTGTGCCAGCTAATTTTTTTCCATCCATTAGCACAGATCTCCATAAGAGGAGGAAAGTATCCTAGATTCAAGTCTAAAGCATCATATTACATCTCCCAGAGGGTTCCACATAGACAGAAGCATAAAGAATGTATACAGGTATACTAGGTAAAGAAAGGATCGTTTTTCTTAAAATTAGCAACTTTGGTACACTCAGCTTATGCAGCTACACGGTTCTTTAACTCCTCCAAAGTGAGAAAGAGGATGCAGTGCTTCAAAGTAGCTAAAGTACGTATGCGTACATATTTCAAATCACATTCTTTCATGCAGGATCATTCTCAATTGAAAGGGAAAGGAGTGAGAGAGGACTAACCGACATCTCTTCTCCTTCCATTAGCTCCAGGTCTGGCCTTTCACTTTGCAAGATGTGCCAAGTTCATCCCTTTGAGATAAAGCATTGCTCAGCCAGACCTCTACCAGCAAAAGATCACTCACCTAAACAAAATTCAAATCAGCAACATCAAGCTGCCTTTGGGATCTGCCTGCACTGTAGTTGCTCTTATGACTGCAGTATCATAAACAAACCATAAACTGACTAACCTAAGAAGTAACAATCATAGCACCCCACTAAACTATGCTCAGACAGTTGCAATATAGACATACAACAAGACTCAAGTTTATATAACCTTACTAGCAACAAACAGCTTATGTCAGAGAATCTTTTCAACATCAAAAATATTATATCCCATGTAACATCAAAACAACTAAGGATTTACCACAGACTTTTTAAGATTTATCCTGATAATGTCATAAAAAAACCCCAACCAAAAACAAGTAAAGAAAAGAGCAAAAATACCAGTTCCAGTGAAGCCCAAGCCATGAACTCACAGGAAAAGCAAAGAACAGAACAACAACTCAATGAAACCTAAGCCATAAACCAAGCACCTAGTTTATATACGTATTATTGAACAAGTCATTTAAATTACCTGCTTCGATTTTAGCAATTATAATCTGTAAAACAAGACTTCCTCTAAAGTGATAATGTTTATGCTGAAATAAGAGAGAATAGTACCTTCCAGTCTTTGAATTTTAGCTTTCACAGAAATAACCGTTTCAAAGGGAGAAACTCGCAGTTCAAAGCATGTTCCTGTGAGTGTTTCAATAAAGAGCTCCATAGTTTCATAAAAAGGAAGCTTGTAGTGAAACGGTCCCATATTATCTTCATTGAAAAAAGGAGGCTCTTTCTTGTTGGCCATTACAAAGGATTTATAACTTCCTTGTAAGAAGATCTGTCAGGAAACTACATTCCACTTCTAGCCAAGTCAGCTTTGAGGACAGGTGTGGTGCATTGCTGTTCATGTTTGGGTTTTTTCACCTATAAAGCAAACAAGCATAGTTCTAACAACATCTGAATGTAGCTGTTAAAGAGAATTTCAATTTATTCTTGATGAACAATAAAATAGCTATTAAGAATCAGTAAATTACTGTGGAGGTCATGCAACAGATAACTGCAAACGATATTAGTTAACATTATAGTTTTAGGGCTCTAGTTTCAGTCAGCATTCCAGGTCCTACCTACTACTTTTATTTTTATTTTGTTTTCACGAGCGATATGACAACCGGACCTGCGACATTAACGCCCAAAGCCTCCTGACAAGAAGCTAAGCCCTCAGCAGGGTCAGCGCTGGAGAAAAACTCCAGAGAGACGTAAAGGCAGGGACTCATCCGGGCTCGGGGAAGGCACAGGAGGAGCCGGCAGCTCTGCCTTCTCAGCAGCGCGGCGCTCCCGCCGGGCCGGGCCGGCTCCCG